TAGATTCCCGCTCGTGGCCAAACACCGGTTACGATCATCTGAACCGGTACTGGGCCTTCCCTGGGTCGACTCAAACTCAACTGAGAATCTGTTGCGTTGCGTAAACACAGCCAATGGGAGACAAAGGCGGTCGGGGATGCAGCTATCGTATCGTACAACTTCCTGCGTTAATAAGTGCACGCTAACAGTACTGGCCCCACAAGTCTATGCAGGCCCTATATGGATCTCTGCGTGTGTATTTCTCTCAATGTTTTTAGATGACTTTGAATTGTCAAATTACTGTATCTGGTGTCCTGGATTGTGCTTATTGTTGTGATTTTACTTTCTGCGCTGTCTGATTGTGTTCGAGAAATATATAATTATATATTTATAGCCCCATCAAATGTAAATACTTCAATTGGGGCCTTCTGGGTCGGGCTGCGTGCTGAGCAATGTTCACCTCTCGGGTGTCCGCAAGGCGCTGCCGTAGGCATCTTCAGCGCCACTCGTAGCTCGACCAGTGAAGCCGCGTTTGGACGGCACGTGGCTGTGAGGAGACAAATAATGGACGCGTTAAACACGTGTAGTTAGTCAAACTGAGTCGCAGACGTTGTCATTAGGAGCATCATATTTATTACTAGTTAAACACAACATATATCTAGGGTGGTGACCACCCGGCTAACCACACTATGGCGAAATCACTTCTACTGATACGTGATCCTGGTCCGGACCAGAAGCTGGGTCCCGGACCGCGTGAATGACAGGGGCCCCCTTTTATCTCTCTGGACTGGGTCCGGCTCTGCCCCTGGCCCCGCCTACCTTCGCGATCTTTCTCGCCCTTACCCGAAGGCTCTCTTTCAGACCATGTGACCACCCTCTGGCCCCTCCACCTGGGGCCCCCCTGCGGTATCATCTGGTCACGTGTCCCCAGGTCAGCCAGAGTATCAACACCCCAGGTAACCCTGGCTGAGCTGACACTCTCTTGCTCCCTCTAGCGGGAGCCCGCACCGCACGATGCGCGTGGTGCTACCACGCTAACCAGCGCTTCCCCCAATCCCCACTAGGGTTGGTACTGCACCCATATCTGGGGTGTGCACGATGACAATGCATTACCCGCCGTGGCCTTGCAGTCCCAGTCTGTGATCAGACTGTAAACATTACAAGAGCATAAATTAACTCTGTTGGTTGGGTGAAGTCGGGTCAAGGATGTATTGCGATGTCAATCCGCCCCAGGTTGTGGAGGTAACTTGAACATACTTCACCACGCTGGCCACTGCAGGTTTGGTGAAAGGCGGCATGATGATTGATGTAGAAGCATATTGCAGTACAGTACAACAACATGCGGTTGTGAGAGCGGTCTCCGCTGCCCAACGACGTGGCCAGCGTAGCGGCCGCAGAGCCACCTCATGCATTCGTAGAGGAGGCATTGCGAGCGGCTTCACGGATGCTGCCATGTCGACCTAGCCCTTCTCCCGCAAGAGCTCAAGCCTCGTGGTGGTTGGTGGTGGTAGAAAGTCAAGAAGACAAAATAACCTCCTCACCTTCAAAGCGCTACATCGCGAGCGTTGTGCAGTGCCAGTGAAGGCGACACTGCCATGTGTTTTTAATATGCACTGGGTGACCCACCGCCAACGCTTATTCTCTAGCAATTGAATCATTCGACTGATTATTATTTTTAGACGCGATTTAGAGGAGATATTTACTGCCTCGCCCGATGTTGGGGCAAGTGCTGTTGGCGAACTCCTGTGAAGGTCGGGGCGGCGCACGGTGGGGTGGGTGGCCGGCAACCGCGCCCGGCCGCCTTTGTCTCCCTTAGTGGCGATGTTTACTCATCATAGCACCAGGTGTGTATTTGATGCTGAGTCAACCTGGGGGGGGGGGAGGTGCAGGGCTGTTTTTGCACACATTCGTGTATGTGTGTAGACCTGTATACTGTATGTGTCTTCATGTGCGTGTCTGGAAGCAGTCGGTCAACCCGCGGCACCTGGGGTGACCTCCTGCCAGCGGGCGTTCGACACTTCATGTGGCCTCAACGTGCACCTAGCTTAGCACAGACGCTGTGGTGACGTCACCGCCCCTTAGTGGCGAATGGCGGTTGTTGTGTTTGTAAGCACTGGGGGAGACAAGGGCGGCCGGGCGTGGTGCTGGCCACCCACCCCCTCACGCGCCCCGCCGGTCTTCGTAGGTGCTCGCCAACAGCGAGTCTGCGAAGGCTATATGGGGGATCTTTGTCTTTGTGTGGGTGAGTGTGGGGAGCGGTGGTGCAGCGGTTAGCGCTACGCTGCGCTACGAACCCGGCGACCCGGGTTCGATTCCCGCTCACGGCCAACACCAGTGACGATTTTCTGAACCGGTCCTTGGCCTCCCCTGATTCGACTCAACCTGAAATGAGTACCTGGTGCGGTGTGTGGACGTCGCCACTGGGGAGACAGGGGCGGCCGGGCATGGTGCTGGCCGCCCACCCCATCGTGTGCCGTGCCGGCCTTCGTGGGTGATCGCTTGCAGCACTTGCCCCAACGGTCTGTTAGGGCTACACGGGGGATCTTTGTCTTTGTGAGTGTGTAAGGTGTGTGCGAGTGAGCACCAGACCAGGTGTTCAGACCCCCCCCCCCTCTCACCTCCGCCTCAACCCCTCACCCCCCTCACTCCCCTTCACCCCCCCCCTCACCTGTCTCACCTCGGATGCCTCCGCACACGGGAGACGGGGATCCCCCGTGTAGCCCTTGACAGCCTCTTGGGGCAAGGTGCTGCTGAATCTCCGCAGGCCGGCGCGGCACACCAGGGGCTTGGATGGCCAGAACCACACTGCTCCGCCTTTGTCTCTCCACTCAGGCGCCAGCTGCTCAAGTCGACCTGGGGTCGGTGCACGCATTCGCCACTGATGTTGGCCGTGAGCGGGGAACGTAGCGCCACCGCTCCCCATTCAAACAACGACGCAGACGGAGACCCCCCCAACCCCACCCCACCCCAGAGGCTCAATGACGCTGATGATGTTGATGATAATGCTAATACAGCCGATGGTAATGTCAATGCCGCTGATGACACTGCAACAACTGATGATGGCAATGTCAATGCCGCTGCTAATGAAGATGGCCATGTTATTGTTTATTGTAGTACGGAGTTAGACTGATGGCCTTAATCTTAGTTGTCTTGTGGTTGTTGTTGTTGTTTGACATCCCACTGGGATTTTTGCACACAGCGTTGATATACGGTGCTTTTTTCAGGAATATTTTGATGTTTTTTTTTCCTGGATTTTCTGTGTGCACAGTCACATAGTCACTTTAAGATGTTTTCTTGTTCATGTTTTTGTTTTTTTGTTGTTGCGGTTGCACCCGATTCAAGAGCCGAATGGCTCACAGGGTTATACCAAAACAAATGGAGCAATGAAATGTACAGGACGTCGTTGGCTCGATCCCGACCCTGACTCCTGCTCTCTATTTAGAGTTTGCATCTCTCTCTCTCGCCCTGGTCACGTAGATTTTTCTCTGGGTCCTCTGGGTTTCACCTCCACATTTAGAATCAACATCACACGTTTAGAGTATTTGGCTGCTGCTAAAAAAATGTCCACGCAATATGCCACTTCGCTGAGCTATCATTTGTGATGGCCAGGTCGCTTTTGAAAAATATGTGTATAGCTCAGTGGGCCTTACCTGGCAAATTACAACATAGTTTCGTTTATGTTAACTTCTTGAACATCTGCAGTGCACATTGTTTAAAGCTGAGCTAAATGTTGCACTCTAAGACTATCAGACAAATCACACGACAAGCTTCAGGAGCTGTTCGAGGACAACGCAAAATTAATAAATATTGCGTCGAAGTTGATTGAGACACTACAAACGCACCCATTATCCATTCAAATGGCGTGACATTTCACGAAGTCTCTGTGACCTTTTTTGAGATGCCCATAAATTGGCAGACTCTTTTTGGTATACTAGCTTGTGCCTCTTGGCTGTGTTTTTACTATCTGTGCTGTGTGACTGCGTTCGAGAGAGATATACAGTGATAGTTATTTATTGACCCATTATCTGTCAATATTTCTTGTAGAGCGTTCACAAGGTGCTGCCACAGGCATCTTCAGACACGCCACTCGCAGCTCAACCAATAAAGCCGCCCTTGGACGACACGAGGCTGTAAAAAATGTACGCGTTAACATGCACACGTATTCGTCTGTGATCATACTGTAAAAATAACAAAAGCCTAAATTAACAAAGTGGGCGGGGAAGTTAGGCGAGTGATTAACAATTTTGAACGTGGCCAGATATTGATCTCAGGTGTCCTGATTGGTAATGCCATGTGCAACCCCCTGCGCCACCACTCCACCCCTCAGGCTGCAATACTCATGCTGTAATCAAAGCAAACACATTTTGAATATCACAACACAGTCTAGTAACTTCAGAAGTTTAAGGTATATTCGCTCGAAGTTTTGTCACCCACCGGCCAAATGAAAACCCATCTGACCGGTTCAGCTTCACATTCTTACGCTCTGCAGGGAAACAAATCTCACACCAGAGCAGTCGTTTTTATCCATTTAGTATAGCCTGCACCCCTTTGGTTCTCAATCATAAAAAAATGTTAATAAGAACATTGCTTTGATTAAATAAATAGTTGTACTTACGTGCCCATGCTCAATTTGCATTTCGATAATTTATCTTCTAAAAAAATCTGGCCACGTATCACACCCCAAGAAAGGACATCTCGCACCTAGGTAGATCCTACCCAACAGTGGGTGATGGAGGAAAGTAGAGTGGGTGATAGATTCACACTGAAAACAAAAGGCTCAAGATTCCATGATGGGTCACGGGAGTCTACAGACAAATTCTGTCTCGGATGCCACAATGACATCCAAGCAACTCTTCGCATTGGGGTACTTACCCAGAGTTGGAATTACAGGAAATGATGACATATCTACAACTATACCAATGTTTTTATTTTACCAGGTAAGGCTCACTGTGCTATGTGGCTCTTTGTCTATTACAAATGACAGCGCAATGAAGCGGATTATATGAAAATAGATTGTAGCCAAAAACTCTATGCACGTGATGTTGATTCTAAATGTGGAGGGAAACCCGGAGGACCCGCATATAAATTCACCGGACCATGGAAAGTGAGGGATGCAAACTCCAAATATTAAGACATCAGCGTCGGGATCAAACCAATGACATACTGTACGAATGAGCCACGGCATTAGGCGTGTTCACCTTAGGCTGAGCACCTTGGGGTGCGGTTCACATTCCACGCAATGTCCCATGATGTCAGTGATGACAATGAAAGTATTTGATTTTTTACTTCCTTGTTCACCACCGCTATAAGAGAGAGGTCTTGGTCCAGCATCTCTCTGAGCCACACAACGAGTGATCCCAGTGAAGCCCATGGGTCATGGCGAGCGCGACTGCCAGTGAAAGTGTGGATAGTGAGCTACGCTGCCCTGTCTGCCTGGGCACGTTCGACTGCCCCTCTACGCTGAGCTGCGGACACTCGTTCTGCCTCCGGTGCCTGGAGGCCGCCTGGGCGACGGCGAGCAGCTTCAGCTGCCCGCAGTGCCGAGCGACCTTCCCTGTGCGACCCCAGCTGAGGAGGAACGTGGCCCTCGCCAACCTCGTGAAGCAGCTCAGAGTTGGAGACGGGATGGCCAGGGCCATCGTGTGTGACATCTGCACTGACGGCCAGACCCCTGCAGTGAAGACCTGCCTGAGATGTGAGATGTCCTACTGTGCGACGCACTTGAGGCCTCATGTAGAGAATCCCAGGTTGAGAGACCACGCCGTGGTGGCTCCCATCACGAACCTGGAGGAGCGAAGATGCAAGGAGCACAGAAAGGAGCTGAAGTACTTCTGTGAACAGGATGGGATCCCGGTCTGCACAGGCTGCACCATCACTGGAGACCACTCTGGACACAGAGTCATCACAGTGGAGAAAGCGCAACAGACAAGACAGGTGAAGTGTCATGTTCTGTTGTAATCCACATTGTTACAGGAGGTTGAGGGATTCACATTAGTAGGTCGTGAATCCTCACTTCGACCAAGTGAGCTCCTGTTGAGACCAAACGTCCCTCTACGCCCAGGTAAAGGTGGCAGAGTGGCTCAGATGTCAGAACACTGAGATGGTAACGCTGTCATGCTCAGTTAGAATCTTGTCGGCCGCCCATGGTTTAAACCGGATATTCAAGTTTAGTGGGTTGATGGTCTACGCCCAGTCAACATTTAAGTGCATGTAAAATCATATTTTACATGAGAATTCAAATTGTAAGTTTGACTAAGTGAGAAACGTTACGATTCATATTAGGGCATGTGATAATCCGCTACACCCATCACTCGAAGAAGTTAAAACATTTTATAATGTACGTGATATTTGTCGATAATGTTGTCTAACAGGTTTTTGCATTGCTCCACGGTAGTTTCGATTTGATTCTTCATCTCAATACATGGCACAGACAGTGCAGTCGGGATACAATCGCGTAAAAAGTAAAAATATAAATGGAGACATATGCAGAAATATGTGTGTTGACATATGCAGAAATGTGTGTGTTGACCTTTCATAGCCAACCGTGCTAATCAGAGATGCGGGATGATGATATATCAGTGATACACCAATGGCGAGCACCACGTATTTATGTATTTATCTATCGCAATACAGGAGGAGCTCAGAGTCAAGAAGGAGGGGAGAGAGGAGAAGAGGAACACGGCGGCGTCACGGACACGGACACTCAGGGATGACTACCGGCGCGTGGAGGTTTGCCTATGAATCGTATTTCATTAAACTTCGCTCTTATCATTGACGAGCACTGCCCCATACGTTGGCACATTATATAACTTCGGTGAATTGAAAGCGGTGTGGATTTCAAGCGAATCGTTTGCTGTCTACTTTCAATTTACAAAGTCAACGACATCAAACTGTAAAAGAGCAAAGTGTGAGTTCGTAACTGTGTTTGCCTGTCCGCAATTTTTTAAAGCCCACTTTTTGAGCGTATAACCTTTCTGAAACTTTTATCTTCAATGAGAAAAAATGTGGGAAGCATTTCAACCGGTTTTGGATAGCCAGATTTGCAACACACGTTTACGACGTTAATAGAAGGACACCAGGGAATCACACAGAAACATAACTTACGGCATGACAGAAGTTTTGGTTTTGGGGGGGATAGAATCGATCCACGCTGGCTGATGCGTTGTCGACTTTTCCTGTCGATTCCTTCATTAATAAAACCACAATGCTTGCTATGGAAGGTTGTGATTCCTCGCTTCTGGCCCCAAAAAATCTGGAACACACCAACTTGCCCAGAGTGCAAGGGGGAGTGGATGTTAGTATTGCCTTCGAATCCAGCATTGTTTCTTTCAGCACATTTGAATTTAAAACAATAGAGCAATGTCACGTGTATATGTTATGTATATTCGCAGACCTTTGACACAATTTCCTGGGAATGTCCTCGGCAAGATAATTTGTTTCGGTTTAATTCACGTTTCTCTCCGATGCACCGTTTGGTAGATCCAGAGTGGGACGGACAGATAGACAGATGCGAATGATACCCAGAGAGATGTATTTCATTGTCCCCAGATGGACACTCAGCAACGTGTAGCTAAAGACAGAAGTATTTACTATACTACCCTTCCCTATGATATTATCCCCTTATATCCCATTCTTATTCTCCCTGTGCTTTAAATGTTCCCGAGCTCCCAATGCACACGTCGCTTACCTCCGTGTACATAATCGAGATATGGTGACAATCATTGCCTGTACGACGCCACATTGCATCATTACCTTACAAGTGACTCAACAACTCGGCACTCTCTGTGTAGGAGTATGTGCGTGGGACCAAGGAGCGGATCAAGCGAGAGTTTGAGCGCCGGAGGGAGCAGCTGAGGGTAGAGGAGAGGGAGGCGCTGGAGCACGTGGACGAGGAGGGCCGCTCCGTGCTGTCCCGCATCCAGGCGGACATCGCTCGCTACGAGAGCAGAGCACGCGGCCTGGAGCAGGAGATCAACCAGCTGCTCGCTGCCCTCGCCGTGCAGGACCCGCTCTCCTTCCTGCAGGTGACCCCAACTCCATTCACTCACTGTGGTGGCTAGGAGATGTTAACTACCTCGCCTGGTATGGAGGAGGTTGTGGGTTCGATACCAACCCTGACGTCGGCTATATATTTGGAGTCTACGTCTCTCTCTCTCTCTCTGTGATCGCATAGATTTTTCTCTCAGTCATCTGATTTTTTACTCCAAATTTATAATCATCATCATGCATTCATAGTATTTGGCTGCCATTATAAATGTCCACATAAGGCAGTTTGTTGTGCTATCTTTTGTGATAGCCAGCTCGCTACTGAAAAAGAGCAACGTAGCCTTACCTGGAACATACAAATTTAGTTTATTCAGAGTTCAAAACATAAGTTGTTGAACATTACTTAATCAAGAATAGGGGTTTTCCCATTTTTTGTTTTGCTGCATACTCTAGACCTGTAAAGAGTGATTTTGTCATTTGTTGGGGTCCGTGTCCAGTTAAACAAACCCTGTATTTGAAGAAAAAAATAATATTCGGCTTATAAGTAGAAAGGTAAAGCAAGTATCAATAAATGAATAGCCCTGGTTGAGCAGTGATACCTTGCAATAGGTATCTGTTTGGTGTTAAGAAAATCTTAACACGTCCTATTTTAATTGCCAGAAAGGATAAAGCCTCTTTCTATTTTTTTCATCATTTCGATAATAGAAGAATAGGGTTTTTCCTCTTTTTTCTGGCAACAAAACTGAAACGTTTTTACGAGGAATCATGTCTGTATTAACCACAATACAAGAGTGTGTTTTTTTCTTTGCATTTTGACCACAAGTATTGTGGTTAATGCAGACATGATTTCTCATAAGGTTTCAGTTTTGTTGCCAAAAAAAAGGGAAAAACCCTATTCTTATATTTTGGTACTGGCAAAGGAGGTCTAATGATGTAGATGATGTCTCATGAGGCCTCATTACTTTGATAGTGCATTATATTTGAGTTATACACTTTTTGGCGTCCTTTGGTCTAGCACCAATTGAGACGAGGCTCAAAAGAAAGCTGTCTCTGGTGTGGACCAAACAGTTTCAAGGACAATGCATATATTAGTGTGTTTTTTGTTGCATTTTGACCACAAGTATTGTGGTTAATGCAGACATTCCTCGTAAAAAAGTTTCAGTTTTGTTGCCAGAAAAAGTGGAAAAACCCCATTCTTATGTTTTGGTACTGGCAAAGGAGGTCTAATGATGACATTTCGAGATTGGCAAATAGGTCCCATAGATAACCCTGTTTTTAATCATTCTCTGTTTGCTGGTGTTTATTAATTCCTTGATGTCGCGCTCCACCTTCAATAGCAAGTGACTGTGTGGAGGTAGGGCATCTGTTTAGGATGTCAATGTTAATGTTAAATGCGGGTTTGTGTTTTTCAGGATCCCCTGCATGAAAGTCTCAGGTCAGTACCAACCCAGACTCAAACTCGAGCTCTGTCTGCCACCTGGTGGAAAAATCAGTGACCGGTCATAAAGGGATTCCTAATAAACCCAATTGTATGCAGTTGTCTCTCATATTGTCCGTGTATAGAGAGACATGGACCCTCATTAGACTGTGTGTCCCGTGCTGTGTGTGTAGAGAGACATTGATCCTAATTAGACTCTGTGTCTCATGCTGTGTGTAGAGGGACATGAACCTTCATCAGACTAGGTGTGTGCCCCATGCTGTGAGTGCAGGAAGAGCTCGGTATCCCAGGAGACTCAGGATGACCCAGCCCCTATCTCCACCGGCCTGAACCTCGCAAAAGTCATCCCAGTGGGAGACGTCCGAACGAATCTCCTGGCTGCTCTATGTAGGTATCTTTGTTTCACTCATAGCTGCAGCCCCATTCGCTACAAACACAAGATCAGCAACACGAGGTGGGCCTGTGTCGTGTATTAAAGCCAGGCGAGAGTACACAGGCACTTGTCATTTTGGGAGGGTGAGAGTTGAGGTGGATTCAGCGAGAAACGCTGTCACCGAGGTGATAACAATGAGAGCCTCAGTGTATCAAGAGGTGCATCACGAAGCGGGAAAAGTGTTCCCTGAGAGCAGAATGGTGACCGTCTCAGCCAGGGGTCGGTAGCCAAAATCACAAGAGACATTTTTTAGTTTGAATCCGGTATTAAAAAGACAACTCTATATTTCAAAAGTCGCCATAATGCATGAGGTGAACATGAGACGGTGGTGACCTTGATTAATACCATCGCTAAGCGGTCTTTTAAGGAGAGCCCCAGGTTGCCAATACCTGGTCTAGGTAGATCAATCGCCATGAATGTCAACACCGGTGACCGTAGGGCACACTACTATGCGTACACAAATACTAACCAAAATTAGTATGTGGACACAAATACCAATGGATATTAGTATGTGTACACAAATAGTAATGAACACGAGTATGTTCACACAAATACTAACACATCATATACACTTTGTTATGTATCAATGTAATATGTACTCCAGTATGACCACAACAACACAACTAACAACACAACACACAGCGTGTGTGTGTGTGTACACGCTATGGGCAATGCTCGTGCCACTACTGTGCACACGTCGCCGTGACCGCTGTGCGGGCATCGTTGCTGTCATCACCACAGATGGACGCTCACCGACTCTGGACACAAACTCAGCCCACAACCGCCTCCAGATTTCCTCGGATCTCAGGACGGTGACACTGAGCAGTGTCCCCAAGAATCGTCTCCATCACCCACACCGCTTTGATTACTGGCAACAAGCTCTGTGCTCTGAGAGCTTCTCATCAGGGCAGCACTACTGGGAGGTGGACGTGGGGAGTGCGGGACAGTGGTGTCGGATTGGAGTCGCGTACGGGACGATCCTACGGAGAGGGCGTGGTGATGAGTGCCGCCTGGGAGGGAGTGACGTGTCCTGGTGTCTACGGAAACGTGGCGACAGCTTCTCAGTGGTGCATTGTGGGGTAAAAACGTCACTGTCGGTGCTAGAGCCTCCGCGGAGAGTCGGGGTTCATCTGGACTGGGACGCGGGGCTGCTGTCGTTTTACAGCGCCGATTCCATGATACTCTTGTACTCGTTTCACCAAACATTCACTCAGCCCCTACATCCTGGGATGCTGGTGGGGTGGTGGGGTGATGATGGTGACTCAGTGAGGATTCTGGATCTGAGTTGTGCGTCCTGAGAGAGGTGAACGTGAACAGCGCTGAGAGCAGACGCCACGATGCACGGCGCTCGCCACCCTCGTCACCATCACGCGCAGTGCCACGCCCGTGGCTGGCCGGTGGCTGTCGGTGGCCGTCGGTGGCGAGGAGAAGCATGGCTCTCCATCATAAAGGGGGGTTAAGCATAAACAATCCTCACAATATTTCTAGGGGGTTATAAAATCAGTACCGCTCTGTGTGTGAAGCCAATGTGAATGTATTCACAGTGCCAGAGGAGTGTGAGAATAGTGTAGGGGTGCAGTGATTAGCAATGGTGAACTGGGATGTGTTCATAGACTGCTATAATTGATTATGGGAGACACACAACAATAATATGAATTTTAAAAGGTTTAAATCTACACGTATGACAATGACATTGTAATCCTTGCATTGTTGATTCGACAATAAAAATACAGAGCACAAATAATAATGTAGTTGTGTACAGCGTCATTCGTGCTCACTGCATCCCGCAACGCTGTTCATTAATTAAACACGAGGCCTAAATCTTCTACACAGCCACTGCCAAGCAAATTAAATCTACAAATTAATAAACAAATGAAGAGATGGCGCCAAACACAAAATGCGCCAAACAATGTCCCATCTGTTCAAGTTATCTGCTGTTGCAGCGTCATGGACCCGGTGATGTCACCACGCACGCTCCCCAAACGTGATGACGTCACCACGTCACCCCTCCCCTTTCCCCCCACCCCCCTACGCGCTCCCCCCACGCCCGCCCCTCACCACTGCACCATCTGTGAACATAAAGAGCTTCACAGCTTCCTCCTGCAACAGAACACAGATTCTGACATTCTGGATTCCCGCCACTGGGGGAGTCCCGCGTTGTGACGTCACCACGTCACCGCGTTCACGACAACAAAAAGAGAGGCCCTGAGGGGCACCCTGCAGCCTCGCTGTGACTTCATCACGTCACCGCGTTGGCGACAACAAAAACAGAGGCCCTAAGGGGCACACTGCAGCCTCGCTGTGACGTCACCACGTCACCGCGTTGGCGACAACAAAAACAGAGGCACTGAGGGGCACCCTGCAGCCTCGCTGTGACGTCACCACGTCACCGCGTTGGCGACAACAAAAACAGACAGAGGCACTGAGGGGCACCCTGCAGTCTCGCTGCTGTGACCCAGCACTGTGAGGGGGGGGGGGGGGGGGGGGGGGGGGGGCGGATCACGCTGAGACCCAGCACTGTGGGGGGGAGGGGGTTGGTGGATCACCACTGACGCTGCTGGGAACTCCCCGCCAGGGCGAGTCAACGAGGCGCCACGTGACCCTGGTGTGCGCCAGAAGGCGGTGGAGCAGCAACAACAAAAACCACCACCACAACCATCACCACCACTAATACAACCACCACAACCATCACCACCACCACAACAACCACCACAACCATCACCACGTGTGAACTTTACACAGTGACAGGGACTGGGAACTAAAAAGAAAAATCGGCCCCAGGCATTTTGTGAACACGCTGCACACAAATTTGGCCTATGGTCAACAAAACAGAATGTTTCAATAATGATATATACAGGGTGCTTCAATAATTTTATATACAGGGTGCTTAAAAAAGTGTGAACACTTCTGAGACTTTGCAAAGATGCCACCACAAATCTGCCTCCGGGCTCTGGAGACTACCTGGAGAAGATTCCAGGCAATGTGTTGACAATAATCACGAATTAACATTAAATATGTTATCTTTTTTATTTTACTCTGGTCACTCTGATCACATTTGATTTTCAATGTTCCCATACAAGACCAGCCCACCAGTGCCTCGCAATGGGAATCTACTCCCTCCCTCCCTCCAACCCTCCCCTCCCTCCCTCTCCTTCCCTCCCTCCACTCCCTCTCTCCCTCCGGGTTCTCCGTTCACCTCCCAGAATTTTTAATCCCCTAATCAAAAATTGCCCGACGCCACTTTCATTTGTAGAGGAGGAGCTCCTAGCTCGGCGTAATCGTTGGTGGCGCCGGCTCCTCATCACCTGGCTGCTGCCTATCCCGCTCCTTGTCTGTGGATCCTCCCTCCTGGCGCCTCAGAGGTCGTCCTCTCTGTATGAGAGCGAACGACTTTACGTGTGGTGTGCTACAAGTTGAAATCAGCTTTGTTTTTGTTATTATACTTCTCAACCCACGACTGTACTCCCGCACCTCCGGTTAGCACGGACGCTATGTACGGTGCATAAGAAGTTCAATACACGTATTTACATAGATATGTACACTGACTAAGGCCACCCTATGCCATGCGGGTTAAGGGAGTTATTTGACAGAACTTCGCCACGCTGGCAAGCGCGGGTTGTGAAGACGGCACGCGTAGACAGACGTTGGGAGCCTATCACAGTGCAGGGACTGCCACGGATGTCGTTACACTGCCCCCTACTGCCCACGACGTCGTGTCAGTGTCGCAACCGCAGGGAGCGTCACGGAGACGAAGGCGAGGAGCGTCAAGAATGGTGTCACGGACCTGCTCCATGTGGCACCATCTGGCCACCTCGCAGCCCCGAGCGTGACCCTCGCCTTCAAAAGGCTTCGTCACAAGCCGGGTTCCATTATCAATATGGTCGTGAAACATGCTCAGTGATTGCATTCCACTGCCATCACTACGCTTACAGAGTGTCTCCCCCCTCCTCATTCCCACTCCTCCCACTTTACCCCCTCCCCATCCTCCCCCATCTCCCCCTCCCCCCTTCATATGTTATGATCTTCAGAAGTTAATAAGCAAGTATTTTGTTTCTGTTCAGGATACCGACAGCCAACTAAAGAGTGACAATATAATGAGAAGTATCTTGGTTCGCAAGACACTGATACGAGGCTCAGAGCATCATTCCACATCAAAGCTCCATGGTGGCTAGGAGATGTTCACTGCCTCGTCTGGTGTACAGGAGGTCGTGGGTTCGATCCCGACCCTGACGACGCCTGCTGTATATTTGGAGTTTCTGTGTCTCTCCCTGTGGTCGCATGGATTTTTCCCCGGGTCCTCCGGTTTTACCTCCACATTTAGAATTGTGAGTATTTGGCTGCTCTAAATTTCTACGCGACAAGCCACTTCATTGAGCTGTCATTACGTGTGTCGAGTTCCCTTCTGTGAGTAGAACTATAAAAGAGCCGCATAGCTCAGTGGGCCTTGCCTGGCCAATCGCCCGATGCAACTGCTTGATGTTGTAGTTACCAGCGAGACGCCACGGAACTCAAATTGTCAACGTTGTAGTGGGTTCACTCTCCAACACACAACCGGTTAGTGTATATTCTTGTTTTTTTTGGTAAAGTCACGTAGAAGGGAAATAATGAAATAATAGATAATAATTTTTTCGTTTCTACGTGCCTTTACCGAAACAACCAAGTATATGAATCCCTGTAGTCACGAAAGCTTTAAATATAAATTTAACCGGTTAGTGCTGAAGTAGTCACGGATTGGCACGTGTTGTGCATTGTGACGTCACCACGCACGCTCCCATACAGTGACTGTGGCGCGCATCTCCATAGCAACCAGCCTATGTATTAATCAGCTGTTTGCATTTAAGGCGGTAAAAAAAGTTACATCGATCTTTTTGTATCACTCGATTACAGCACAGCCCAGACTAGTTGAGACAACGACAAAGATCCCCGTGTAGCCTTAACAGATTGTTGGGGCAAGTGCTGTTAGCGAGTAGCAGCACTTGTGAAGGCCGGCATTGTGACACACGAGGGGGTGGGTGGCTAGCACTACACCCGGCCGCCTTTGTCTCCCTAGTGGCGATGTTTACTACACACCACACCAGGTACACATTTGAGGTCGAGTCGACCTAGGGGGGTGCAGGACCTGTTGTTCAGATCATTCGTCGCCGGCGTTGGCGGCCGTGAGCGGGAAATCCAACTCGGTTGGCCCGGTTTCGTAGCGCGCCGCTAACCGCTGCGCCACCGCTCCCCATGCCGGGTGGCAGCGCAGCCCCGAGCGGCAGAGACGCGGACACCGTGGGGCTCCCATCACGAGGAGACCCCACGTGGAGACGTCTCAACGTGAACTCGCGCTGCTGACGTCGCTCCTTCACACCGTTGCCGTGGTCCTGGATGCCTCTAACACGACGCGTTCCGTTGAGTGTGTGAGCGGCCTGGCTGAGCGGCAGCGATGGACCACACGGAGGGATCCGCTGAGCGGGTTGCAAGGAGGGGGGGGGTGGTTAGGGGTTTTGGGAGTGGTAGGGGTAGGGGTAGTTGGAGGGGTAGTGGGAGGGGTTGCGGAGTGGCCTGGGTAGTGGGAGGGGTCGTGGGAGGGGTCGGGGGAGGGTTAGTGGGATGGGGTGCTGCGGGGTGCTAGAAAAGGGTGCATGAGGTGGGGGGGGTTGTCTGGTTGGGGGGGAGGGGGCTTTGGGGTTGTCACGCGAGAGGAGGGACCCCTAGGGGGTGGGGGAGATGGGGATGTTGGGGGTCACGTGGGGTTCATTTGTTTTACTGCCGGCACTGGTCCAGAGTTGCGGACCGAGTCACGAATCGCGACCGATTCCCAGACGCCGTTTGGGTCCCTGTGGGGCCTGGAGCGGTGTTGGTGCGCGCCACGCGAGGGCGCTGCCACTCCACCGCAGGGATTCGCGGGGCGCGCTGAGTAATGAAAGTGCACGGGAGATTTCAAAAGAGGCTGTGGCCAAATCAACCCGGATTGTCGATTTTTCTTTTTCAGACCTCGGAAGCTACGCAAGGTTGATCCTGGACTGTGGCGTTGGGATTGGTGAGCGGTGTGCATGTCGGAGTGCGGTGTGCAGATTACGCATTGTGCCTCTCTCTGATGCGCTTTCAGGTTCTGCCCCTTGTTGATCAGCGCGATGTCTGTGACGTTCCCTCCACGTGCTGGGAGCATCGTCAAGATTTGAAGCTTCTTCAGTTGAAAGTGGAAATGTTAGGAGCATTGACAGCTTTCGTTGTTTGTTCGGGAGGAGCTCAGATACCAATCATAATTGGTCCAACACCAATGGAGACTAGGCTCTAAGAAAAGCTGTCTCGGGTGTGGACCAATCAAATTCAAGGACAGTGCATATTATTATCAGAGTTGTCTTTTTTGTTTGCATTTTGACTGCTTGTGTTGTGGTTATTGCAAACATGATGCCTTGAATGAAGGTGTCAGTTTTTGTGCCAGTTAAAAGTGTAAAACCTATTCCTTTATTTAATGAGCTTCAGGATACTTCTCGAGCTATGGGTTAAGTTTTACATAGTTGTTCAAGTAACGAGACATTGACTGGACACGAAGGGACTCGCATTTGTCCTCTTCAATCGATCTTCAGTCTGCGTGCCAACATCGCCCTCACTAAAGTGGGCATCGGTGCACATCACAGCCGCACGGGAACAGTACCGGGAAAACAGAGTATCAGAAATGGAACAAAAGAAACCCATCACAACCTCAGCAGGTCAATTTGCAACTGCGTACAACGAATAGCAGAAGAACATTAAGTAGCAAAT